CTGACAGCTCAGGGCCTGGAGCCCGCTTCGGATTCTGTGTCTCCTTGCTCTCTGCCCCTCCCGCACTCATGCTCAATCTCTATCTGTCTTCAATAATGAATAAACCTTAAAAACAATTAAAAATAAAATATTTTCTTTTAAGGGGAAAAAGAATTTTTAAATAGTAACTATAAGTCTCTTTATTTTCATACAGAAAACTTCTCCTGCAAAGATCTGTAGGTAAGTTTAAAAAACCCCAAAAACCCACAGCCCTCTAAAATAGAAGATTTAACCTAATTTTAACTGTTGATGATAAACTGTTGGCAGATTCCTATTTGAGAGTGGACAGAATTTATTATATATGCTTATATATCCCTATTTTGTGTCTTATTCTAAATTTTACTCTTTCTCTCTTTGTGTATTTTTCCCTGAAATATTCTGTTCCGAAGGGGAAAATAACGTGTGCTAGATTTCAGCTGCTGTCGCCCAAACCTTCACTAAGAGTTGTGCGCTGCTGATGGGAGAAGTAAAATGGAAAACATGGGAATGACTTAAAATTTGAAAAATATTTGTTTGCAACTTAATGGGTTTTTATGATTCCCGTGGTGGAAAAGTGCTGGCTGCAAGGTCAGGGATCTGAGTCGTCCTCTTGGGCCACGGCAAAGTGACTCAGGGCAGACTTCACAGCCCTCTGTGCCTCATCGCCTCGGCTGGAACACGAACCGGGCTGGACCCTCAGGCGGTCCCTGTGCCTCCAGTGTGCTAACTGCCTTGTTCTCTAGCTGCTTCCGGCTTCCTCTACAATAGCCACGAAGCTCATTCCTGAAGATAGGAAACTAACAGACACACGGATTTAGGACTTTTTGTTTTGCTTTTATTACAGGCTGCTACTTGGAAAAAAAATAACAACAACACTGTCAGGACTCATTCTCTTGTTTAAAAGATTAGCAGGTGTTAAAGAGAGGCATTAAAACCCACTAATACCTGATATATTAAGGTATTGCTCAAGGCCCGGTTTGGTGGGAAAACCAGGCGCTGTCTCACACCTGGCTGGCCCCCATCTTCTCTCAGCCCCAAGGGCTGTCTAACACTCACTGCCTGTGGATGGGGAAGGATCCTATATTCTATAAAGTCTTCTACTATAGGTAGACACCCAGTCCATTAGAGTTCTCTTCTCCTTCCACCTGCCTCATCCTATGTGGTCCCAGAAACCCTTCTGACAGCCTCCCTCCACTCACCACACCCTTTGCCTCTGAGTGCCTTGGTAATCTGGTGCCTTGGAGTCTTCTTGAAGCCATTTGTGTGCCTTCTTAAGAGTTGGCAAGGCTTTAGGATGGGGATGGGCTGGAGTGGAGGACCTTCCTGTGACTCAGGATGTTCCCTGTCATCCTGACCTTCCCAGGGTTGTGAGGTCCCAGCTCTGAGGAGTCCTCTGTACTGGTTCCCCTGCCTCGGTCCAGCCGGCCATGCGGGGTGGGTTATGCATATTTGGCAGGAATGCCGTCTGAGTGACGTTGGGTCCTTTCAGGATTTCATATCAGGAGGCACATGATGTACATCTGCCCTCTCATTGGACATGTTAAGTTTGATCACTTGGCGAAGGTGCTGCACCCAAGGTTTTAATGTGCTTTCTTTTGCCCAAGTGCTATAACTACAGCCTGATTGCCCAGTTTTCCACTAGTGTATTTTTGGGCATCTGCAGTTTGAAAAAAATCTCCTTTTATTATCTATTTCACCGGCATCCTGTTTTTCTCCAGTGAGCCAGCTGTGGTTTTACAAATGCCTGTGTCTGGGGAAAGGCCAGCTGAGCACCGGGGAAGAAACTGTCTGGTCACCAGTGGAGCACATGGTTGACAACTACCTACTGGGGTTCTCAGAGGAGGGACGGGGGAACGGGGCTTGGTCTCGCAGGGTCTTGGCCTCATCCGTGCTCCACTCGATGTGTTTCAATCTCCACGGTCTCTGGGAAACACTTTGATGTTGAAAAGTGAAGCTGCCTGTTTTATCTCCCTTTGCACAGTGCCCTCTTCCTCCTGGCTGCTGCAGGATGCCTCCCCTTCAACGACTCCCAGGTCAGTTCAAGTGCATTCATTTTGCCTTCCAAGTGTCTTTTACTCTCTGAAGCCTGCATGTATGAGCAGAACTTTCTAGTCCTTCTAGAATCAGAAGAACCCTAGTCTGTACAAATGCATTTCAAAGCTTCCGGGCCGGGTACCTCTTGGCCAGGTTAATATCTTTTCCTCAGGCTATTGCCTTCTCCCCAAGGCTGCGGCAATGCAGCGGGGCTCTGGCCTGTGGGTGCTGTGGTGGGTGCAGTCTGCCCTCTGTAGGTGCTTGGAGGACCCACAAGCCAGTGCCCAAGTTGCCTTAGCCTCATGCATTGAGGCAAAGTTGATTTTCCCCCTCAGCCAAGGGCCTCATCTGTAGAGTGATTTTCACTTTGTTATCCTGAGTTTTTCTTTATTAGGCACTGAGGACCCACCCCTACCCCCCAGTACTGTCATCTCATTAGTGGGTCTCTTTTCTTTCTTTTCTCCCCCAGCAATTATTAAGTCCCCATCAAGTGTCAGGCATTGAGCCAGGCTCTGGGGACACAAAGAAGAATTGTCCTCATCCAGGCAGAGTCTAGACAGAGCGAAGGGGAGGGGGACAGATAATAAGCAGATAATTACAACAGGGAGGCCAGAGCTCTGTCCTGGGGAGATACGGGATGTTGTGAGGCACCTAAGAAGACTCAGGGACCCAGAAAGGAGGAATAGCTAACAATTATAGGGAGCTATCTATGTGCCAGGCTCTGTGCCAATGTTTTACAAATCTTATTTTATTTAAAATCTCACAGTGTTATGAGGAAAGGGACTATTATTATCTCCGCTATAGAGCTAAAGAATAATGAGGCCCCAGGGCACCTGGGTGGCTCAGTCAGTTGAGCGTTCAGCTCTTGATTTTGACTTGGGTCATGATCTCACAGTTTGTGAGTTCACACCCCGCGTTGGGCTCTGTGCTGACAGTGAGGAGCCTGCTTGGGACTCTCTGTCTTCCTCTCTCTCTTCCCCTCCCCACTTATGCTCTCTTTTTCTCAAAAATAAATAAATATTTTAAAAAGAAAAGAATAATGAGGCCCCAAAGGTCCCCAGCTAATGAATAAGTGGGGATTTTAGAACTGATACCAGATGTATCTGGTATGATAGCCCTGCTCTGCTATCGGACCAAAATCTTGAAGGGTGAGGAGGAGTTGGGTAGGAGAACAAAGCAGGTGTGGGCACAGTCCTGGAGCTGTCCTGAGTATTCTGTGATTCAAATTTAGTGAACACATCTTATGTGCATGCCTCTGTGCCAATTCCTGCCCTGTGGGAATTTACAGTCTAGTGGATGGTAGAGAAAGAGACAGGTGACAAGTGAAATAGAGCATGTCAGATGAGATAAGCTTCTGTGGAGAAAAATAAGGAAGGGAAGAAGAGAGGGAGTGCCCCCCCAAGTTGGTGGAGGGGGAGCATTCATGCTTGGGGAAGTGCAAATTCTTTACCTGGAGGGGGTACAGTAGATAGGACTGGGCTTGTCAGAGAGATCCTTGGGTGTCATGAGTTTGAAGTTAATCCTAAAGTCCCTGGGGGACTGGTGAATGATTTTAAGCCATAGGCAACACCATTGGATTAGCCTTTTAGAGACAGTGTGAGGACAGTGTGGAGAATGGGGCAAGGGGTGCTGGAGACAGAGCCCTGTTAGGAAGATTTTGTAAGCAACCAGCTGAGAAATGAGGACGAACTGGCCCAAGACCCCGAGAGTCCTGTTGTGGAACCCTTGCTTGGCACTGTGCATCCGTTATTTAGGGTTTCCAAGTGCTATGCTGGATCCTGTTTGTCTATACTTACAGCCGCTTTTTTTTTTTTTTAATCCTGTGTTACAGTTTGATCCAGATGGATATTTCTGGGCTGTAATTCACTTATTCTGTGTAGGTAAGTTTTAAAAGAATGCTTACTTAATAATTGAGGCTTATTATTTTGACCTTATCATATATGTCCACTTTTCAGTGACTCTGAGCAATAGGAAGATTAAAGACCATGTGTCCATGGGAATCTACCCCTAAAACCACGAGCACACTTTACACACTGTATGTATTTTCGCCAATTTGACAATAAATTATATTAAAAATAAAAATTAAAAAAAAGACCAGGTGTCAGGATTAAAATTACATGGGCATTTTCTGATCTGATTTTCCTGTTTTGGAGTTTTCTTCAAATATTTTCATTTCTGATATAGTCTCCTCTTTTTCTCGACAAACATTAATTAACTCACCATGGCTTGGGCCCCACTTGCTCAAGTCTACTTGCGACATGCCAGTTGGTGTTCTCAAAAAGTGGTGAGGGAGATCCAGAAGTTTGGGTCAGAAACACCCTCTTTCAGCAGTATACCCGAAGAAAAGCAAGGGAGGGAAATAAAAAGCCTGTCTGACTTTATTTCATATCATACGCTCAGTGTTTCCTGTCTGCTATCGTGGAGGGAAAGCAGTGCCCTGACTTTGTTACACACAGTTCAGAGATCCAGTGTTTCTTTCTCCTGGGCACCCTGCAAAGGAAGCCGAAAGCTTCCTGTTAATTGTCTCCTTCTGCTGATCTCAAGCCTTCCTGGCCCAGCACTCTTGGGTACTGAACTTTTATCACAGGGATTGTGGCTTTCACATCCTGGAGCCCTCCAGTGTTGTTGTCGCCCCCTGTTGGCTGTGGATGTCCCTCGTGGGAAGGGTGGCCCTTGTCCATGTGGTTTTCATGCTTCCCTGGAATTGCCTGCAGCCCTTTATGCAGAATGCCCTGTGCCAGTAACACCCATTGCTTCGTTTTCAGGGGCTTATAAGATATTGCAGAAGTCCTGGAAACCCAATGCGTTAAGGTAAACTTTAAAATTTTTTTAAAGTTTATTTTATTTTTTTGAGAGAGAGATAGAGAGCAAGCAGGGGAGGGGCAGAGAGCAAGGGAGGCAAAATCCCAAGCAGGCTCCCACACTGTCAGCACAGAGCCCCAAGGGGGTCGGAACCCACAAGCCGTGAGATCATGACCTGAGATGAAATCAAGAATCGGACACTCAACTGATTGCACCACCCAGGCAACGCTAAAGTAAAATTTAATTAATTCATTTATTTTTTTTAATGCTTATTTATTTTTGAGAGAGATAGAGACAGAGTGTGAGCTGCGGAGGGCCAGAGAGAGGGGGAGACATAGATTCTGAAGCAGGCTCTACAGAGCTCGATGTGGGGCTCAAACTCATGAACCGTGAGATCATGACCTGAGCCAATATCAGATGCTTAACCAACTGAGCCACCCAGGTGCCCTAAGGTAAACTTTTAAAGTGTGGTGAGTTCTTGTTTGGTTAAAGCAAAGAGGTGAGGCCCATAGTGTCGTGAGCTTGTTCTGTTCAGCCAGAAACTCTGCAAGTCTGGGTTGTGGTCAGGGCACAGCAGCCTGGGGCCCCCAAAGCCATTTGTCCTGCTGTTGGGCTGTTCCAGGCGGGGTCCACCAGCACCTGATCGTACCAATGATGTTTGAAGAGCAGGGGGTCCTCTACCCTCTCCCTTCAGAGGCAGCGTTCAGATGACATTTTTATAAAAATTGTGTGACTCGCTGCTTTGGGCCCTAGTTAACTTCTTCCAACTCAGAGACCAACTCTTTTTTCTGGTTTCCTTAGCCCCTTCCTAACTTGACTTTGTTTAGACCCAGAAATTCCCCAGTCTGTTCTGGGGTAAAATGAAGCCTCTATTGTGGGCAGTCAACATACCAGCCTTGGCAAATGTAAATGGAAGAGACGGGAGTCCCGGTGTGAGTTGGGCTGCATCTGGGAGGTCAGAGGCCCTAGACTGGCCTCACTGGCCTCTCGGTTTCAGGGCCCGCTGGTGGGCCTGAAGGGAAGGACCCCTGGGAGAGGGTTATACTCGGAGGCTGTGACTTGGGTCCCTAGAGCACCTTTCCTTCTTTTAATGAAGTGTTTCTGCAGCAAGAAGCCAGTGGAGTTGCCAGATAAAATACAGAATGCCCAGTTAAATTTGAATTTCAGATAAGTAGTGATCCTTTTTTTAGTGTAGCTATGTCCCAGGCAATATTTGGAGCATACTTAAACATGATTCTTTATCTGAGATTCAGATTTATTTGGGTGTCCTATATTTTTACTGGTCAAATATGGCAGCCCCAGGAGCCAGTCCAGTGGCCTGAGAGTTGACATTCCTTTTTAAGGAGGCAAAATACATGTAGAAGATAATCTGCCACAGGTGAACATGTGTGTGATAGCACCAAACTAGGAAACGTGTTTTAAAAATGAGCCAGGGGCGCCTGGGTGGCTCAGTCAGTTAAGTGTACGACTTCTGTTCAGATCATGATCTCGAGGTCCTTGAGTTTGAGCCCCTCATTGGGCTCTGTGCTGACAGCTCAGAGCCTGGAGCCTACTTCTGATTCTGTGTGTGTGTGTGTCTCTCTCTGACCCTCCCCTACTCACACTCTGTCTCTCTCTCTCTCTCAAAAATAAATAAACATTAAAAATTTTTTTTTTAAATGAGCCAGGAACTAATTTTGAATATACTCGTTTGGTATACTCGTTATACCATTTATTGACAATTTTTAAATGTAGAAACTTAACCATAGATATAATTTATTAGTAGAAGGTGACTATTTTGTGTATGTAAAACACTTCTACTATTTCACATGTTTTATCTTTTTTTTTCTTTTTTCTCATTCCTTAGTGACATTGACCAGCAGTACTTAAACTACATGTTCAGGTAAAATATAATTTACATTTTCAAAGAACAACTCACGTCTTTCTGGCGCTAATGGATTTTTAGTTTCCAATATTTTGATTCTGAGCCGATATGCCTACCAGAAAGGCAAGCTAAATAATTTGTGAGATGACTTAAAGTCGAGGAGACCAAATCGTAGTTCTGTCCGTAGACTAGGCAAGAGGGACCTCTGTCTGGCTCCATACTTCAGAAGGCCATGCTTCTCCCCATGGCTTATGGAGTCTGTAAGGCTAAGGGGACATTTCTTCCCAGGGCCCATACCCTCCTTTCTAGCCTGGGATCTAGAATTCCCTGCTCAATTGGTCCCGAGCTTGATTCCAAGGCCTCCTTGGGTCTGTCTTCCCAACTCTTTCCTAGACCCAAGAAGTGTCCAAAACCAGGCTGTTAGTGGGGGAGGAGGGTGTGCATGGAGGGTGGATTTGCAGGCTGATGTGTCCACACACAAGCGTGTGAGGCCTCAGTGTGCAGGAAGGAGCCTGGGGTGGAAAGAGAAGGGGGCTCACTGGGAGCCAGGAGCCAGAGGCTGGATCTGTCCATGCTTCCACATTCTGATATGAAGCTCTAAGGATTCCAAGAGTTCTGAGTTCTAATCCAGGCTTCCAGGTTGTTTTGAAGGTATATTTATTTATTAAGATAGAATGAAGTTTGAAGCTTGATTTATAATATTTAAATATGGTATATGGACTGTTGTTCATATACCATTGGCGAAAGCCAAGCAAAGAATAGGGCTCTGTCAGCTAAATAGAACAGCTGCCTAGTGTTTTTGGAGGTTAGTGGTCGCTGACTGGGACCTAGCTGAGAAGGAGCATGAGCTCTGCCATGGAGAGCCCAAGTTTGCACGAATGCAGCCATGCTTGGGAAGATGACCCGGGCCGGGGATGTGCCTCTCAGCATTTGGTCATGCTGATTTCTGCAGGAAGTTCATCTTAAAACGTTCAACATGAGGTGTACTCTCCATCTGCAGATAAAGCTCATAAATATCAGTTTATTAAAATGCCGTTTTTGAAAGGATCCACTCCAAGCATGGCTATAGGCCTCTTTTGTACTCTGCTGAAAACAATCATTAGTTCCACTCTGCCCAGACATACCAGCAGCCTTTTCAAGAGATTCTTCTGAAAATGCAGAAGGCTCTTGATGTTTAAAATGTTTCCGTGACATCAGAACACGCTGGCAGTTCTTTTTCTCCCCAGAACTTATTATAGTCTGCTCGAGTGGCAAAGGAATAAGGGGATGGAAAAGTGAGCTTCTGTGACCCCTGACTCATTCTTCTGTCAGCCCAGCTCCTTCCCCTCCAGTAAGGACACTCATTGCCTGTGAGCCTGGTGCCAAAGGCTTCCTGGCTGGGCCTGCCCCGCACCCCACTGAAGAAGCCACGATTCTGTTTCCAAGGATTTCAGTACAAGTGATGAAGATATGTGAATCAGAACGAGGGCTGCCGTTCAGTTTCCTGTGGGCACTGGACACTGAGGCCATCAGCACCCAGAGAACTGGGATCCTTCAGATCCCTAAGGCAGCTGTGCTGGTCTGTCAGCCAGAAGCTCTGCCTGACAGAGCCAACAACTGGTTTGATCTCCCTTTAAAAAAAAAAAAAAAAAGTAAGCTTATTTATTTTGAGAGAGAAAGAGAGAGAGAGCACAAGCAGGGGAGAGGCAGAGACAGAGAGAATCCCAAGCAGGGTCCACACCACCAGCGTAGAGCCCAACGCAGGGCTTGAACTCATGAGCCACGAGATCATGACCTGAGCTGAAGTCGGACACTTAACCGACTGAACCACCCAGGCACTCTCCTGGAAAGTCTTTTTTAAGTAGACTCCATGTCCAATGTGAAACTTGAACTCATGACCCCGAGATTAAGAGTCACGTGCTCTACCGACTGAGCCAGCCAGGTGCCCCCTGGGAATTTAACTTACCCTCTACAAATTTAATTTTGTGGCAAAAGTAGATTCAGCTCACACCCAACAGCTATTTTTTTAGATTGCAGCCTATTTGTAATTCACAGTTTGCTTTGTTTAGCTTACAAATATTCTTGGAAGATTAGGTGAGTGTGATAATTCTTGGTGGCATGGATGACCTCAGAGTGGGGCATAGATCCTCCGTCCGTCACGGGGTACATTCAACCCTCTTGTCAAAATCTGAGGCATCTTGGGAGATTCTCACCCTCTCACTGACAAGTTGGATTTAGGCAGAATGAGACCATTCAGTGCAGATAATTTGCATTTAGGCTAATTTCACTCTTTCCAAGTAGAATGGGTGGAAATGTACGTTGTGATTTTTCAGTGCTGGGAAAGACTTCTTCACTGCTCTGCTGTTTCTTTTTTCAGTGTGGTGCTCCTGGCAGTTGCATCTCATCCGACAGGTAAGTCGGACTGTTTTATGTGGCCCATTCAACCCAGTGCTCTGACACCGCACCCTCCCCGCCCCCTTATTATCCCTAAGGGACGTTTTGTAAGAGAATGTGGTTTGCCTTCAGGATGGAAGCTCAGGGGTTAGGCACGGCCCACATACTTGAACCTGGTCTCGAGGACCCATTGTGGATTTATCGCCCATGAATTTATTCTTACCCTTTCTTCAATTTTGTTGTCTGTGTTTTCATCTGGTGTGGTCTCAGATGTACAGACAGGCTTATTATCTGCCGGATAAACTAGTGCTCACCTTCTCCACTTCTAAAGTTCCTTCTTCAAACATCCAGAATCGCTCTTCAATCCTAGTGCTAAAGGATTTGGTGAGAAAGTTCAAATTCACCCTACTTCTAATTGACCTCCTTTCATACCTTTTTATCGTATATTAGCCTGCAATATTCAAGATTCCTGATTAAGGAAGTCAAGTTTTAAAGCTTATCTTTACCTTGTTGCTGCCTTGGTTACTCTATAGTGGTTTTTCAGATTCAGGAATTGCCCACAATACTCTATTCCATTGTGGTTTTTTACCGTTTTGAAGTTGGTGCCAAAGATAACGAAATAGTATCTGTGTGCAGTATGGCTGGAAATACATGTTTTCTTGGCCATGCTCCTTAAACTAGTGTTTGTTGGCCATTTGCTGTGCGTGAGACATTTCCCGAGCTCTCAGAGTCTCAGTTAAAATGAGAAAGGTGAACCGGGTTGTTTCTAAGGCCCTTTCTAGCTCCTATGGTGCCCAAAACAATGAAAGGTTTCTGTTGGTGCTTTTAGCTGCTTCAAACTCTTTGAATTAGTATCTTGAGGGAACTGTCGAGAGTGACTCAGTGTTTCTAGATTGTATGTGACCCATCCAAACCGTGCCTCATGAGGATAATTTGAATTACCTTTTTCTCAATGCATTGGTCTACACTTGCCCACACTGATGCGCATCTATTTTCTGCCCGTTCCCACAGTCTGGTGTTATCTCCAGACTCTGAGGTTTGCTGTGGAGTGCTCTCTGCATTCTCATGTGTTGAAAGCCTATCCTTTGTAAAATAAAAATCATATGGACCCCATGGTGTTGACCCTGAACAGTCTGCTCACCCATACTGCTGGTTGTCTGCCTTTACATGCGCTCTTGTCATTCTTTCGCACGGCCAGGAGGTTGCCACCCACCAGACATTGCAGAGCCCCCTACGGAACCTCCCCTTTGAGATGTGTTTCAGTCAAAGCCTTTGGAAAGTTCCTGGTTCTGCTTGGTTTGCTTGCTTCTTGCTCCCTGAGTGATTATTGGTGGATTTGGGCGAATGGTTCTCACCTCAAGAAATCCCTCAGCCTTTCAACCAAGAGGTGATGCTTGTTCGTTGTTACTCATGATTCTCAGAGCTGGAAGGAATCTTAGTGATTATCCTTGGTGCCGTCATATTTTACAAATGAAGAAATTGAAGCCCAGAGCAGTTAAGGGACATGGCCGAGATGGTGCAGGGGAGGTGAATAGCAGAGAGAGACTGGAGTTTAGGTCTCCTGACCCTTCTCTCAGGTTTTTCTTTTTAAATGCTTCTTTTTCAGTGATTCTACAGTTTATTATAAAGTCTCTGGAGTGAGTGAATACCTTCAGTGTTACTAAACTTCCTTGTGGAGCTTCTCTTGGTTTTGATGAAGTTTTTGGGGTGATAGTGGGGTTCATGGGGGTCTGGAGCCCATGACAAAGAAAGAATTCTTGAAGACATCTTTGGTGCAAAAAGGTGATTTTACTAAAGCATGGAGACAGGACCCGTGGGCAGAAAGAGCTGCCCAGGGACCATGAAGAGAGACTGATTATATACTATGGAGTTGGGGAGGTAAAGTCCATGGGAAGTTTCTAGTGAGCTTTTCGTATGCTAAAGAAGACTCCCAGGATAGTGGAGGCCTAGCTATTGTCAAGCTAAGGTTGTTTTTCCCTCTAGCAAATCATTAGCATTAAAACAGTAGGAAGTTCCTGGAAAAACGTTTTACTCTGCCAGCCTCAAGTGTTTGTCAAGGGGCTGCAGGTTATAAGGAAATTTAGTTCTATCTGCCATTTCCTTCTGCCTTTGATTCCCACATCACTATGGAGGGGTAATGGAGACTTAGGTCCTGCAGGACTATGATCTCTATCAGTTAACCGTTTGTTTTTTCCCTTTCCTTTATTCTTGGGCAGCCAAGGAGTGGGAGGAATATCATACATATCCCACCTGGGGGTTGGGGGGTGGGCAGGGCTGCGGCCTGTCAGCTTGCCTTATGCTCCCTCATCAGTTTGAGGGCCATTTTGTCTACCAGTTTCTGAGCACAGTGATGCTGGTAATAGTTTATACGGTTTGGCCAGCAATCCCACATTTCATCTTGAGTTATTGCTAAACTTTTTAGGTCAATGCAAGAATATCTTGGGCACTTACTTACTCTCTGGGAACACAAAGTGGTCAGTAGTCTATGGTTGCAGAATGGCCTAGGCAGAAGAGTAATTTAAAATAGGCCCCTCGGGGCACCTGGGTGGCTCAGTCTGGATAAGCATCAGACTTTGGCTCAGGTCACAATCTCATGGTTTGTGAGTTGGAGCCCATGTCAGGCTCTGTGCTGACAGCTCAGAGCCTGGAGTGTGCTTTGGATTCTGTGTCTCCCTCTCTCTCTGCTCCTCCTCTGTTCATGCTCTCTTTCTCTCTGTCTCACACACAAAAAAATTAAACATTCAAAAAAAATTTTTTTAAATAGGCCCCAGATTTTTTTTTTTTTCTGAGGTGATGAAAGTGTTCTGGAATTTGCTGGTGGTGATGGTGTACAACTCTGTTAATATGCTAAAAACCAGTGGATTGTACACTTTATTTTTAAAAATGTTTATTTATTTTTGAGAGAGAGAGAGACAGAGAGAGAGACAGAGACAGACAGCATGAGTGGGGAGGAACAGAGAGAGAGGGAGACACAGAACTCGAAGCAGTTTCCAGGCTCCGTGCTGTCAGCACAGAGCCCAACATGGGGCTCGAACTTATGAACCATGAGATCATGACCTGAGCTGAAGTCAGATGCTCAGCCAACTGAACCACGCAGGATCCCCTTTAGAAGGGTGAATTATATCTCAATTAAAAAAAAAAATGTATAGGGCATCAAAAACAAAAACAAAAACAAATCGCTCTTATTTGAGAACCTGTTTAGAACTCAGTTATACCAGAAAAAGATATTTACAACAATGAATTTTCCTTCAGATTATATTCAAAAACAACAACAACGACTGAATGGACGTCAGATACTCACCCCCATTCCTTCTGCAGGTTTTGACTGCACGGTATGGTGAATGGCTGAGGATGAGTGTGTGGTGGGCAGCTCAGGGAGTTGTAACTCCCATGGGGTTCATCAGAGAGAGGCTCCGTACGCTTCCCTGGAAGGACTCCTGCATGCAAGTTTGTGCGTTGTGGTTTTCAGGTAGTGGAGGTGATTATCTTTGCAGGGGCCAGGTAAAGAAAGTTGGGCTCCTGAGAAGGATTTTGCTGGCCTGTGAGACTGGCTGTGACCCTGGTGTCAACAGCTTGAGGTGGCCTTGGCCTCCCTTGCTGCAGGTGGCTGAGGCTCCCAGTGAAGGGATGCCCCAGAGCTGTAGGGTTCAGGAATCCTTCTGGCCTCAGTAGCCATCATAGCAGGGCTCTGGCAAAGGCCCCGGTGAAGGTGTGTGTGTGGGGTTATATACAGACTGGTGGCAGCCTTCTGGAAGAAGCCCAAGATTTCCATCTGTACCAGCACCAAGTTCAGCTTTTAATCCATGAGCGGCCCAGGGAAACACTGTAAAACCACACCTACTTCTGTGTTGTGACGGTACTCTGCATGTGGTCACCACGATCCCGTTTGCTGCTTTCTTAGAACTTCTACAAATTGTGTGCCAAGGGGCCTTAAAGATGTGTGTGGCCGTTTCTCTTTTCACCTCTGGTCAGTGGAGTGCCATTGACTTGAAACCTTAGTATCAAGGGGCTGGGCCTTAAGTGCCTGCTTGACTTGGGGCTGTTGAGTAAGCAAAACAATCCTGACTAGAGTAGGGAGGCTGCTTGTGAAAACCACATGAAAGTCACTGTCTAGGTTTTGATTCGCTTTAACTTTTCGAAATTCTCAGGGTTGCCACACACTGTTGTGGTCTAGCCGAACAGTGCCCTGCCCTTTGAAGTTGGGCAGTGCACAACATGAGCAGCTGTAAGCAGCGACTTGTTGCTTCAAAAAGCACTCAGACACAGTAAAATGGTTATATTTGTTTGGTAGAGTGGATAACTCAAGCAGATAGGTATATTAAGGTAGAAATCTGGTATGAGAGATGATGGAAGCTCAGAATCTAGAAGAGAACCAGGGGATCAGTTTTTCTCAGCTTTATAAACCCAAGTCAATTACCCTAAACTCTTTGATGGGTCCTGGTGATGTTTGCTCATAGCAGTCTACAATTATTACAGAGTTTAAGCAAATAAAACACCTGAGGAAAATACCTCTCCTCCAGAGGTATTCGAGGACTGCTGTGATGGGGGAGCTCCAATTCCTTCCAATTCGTTAGCTTTCTCATTGTACCCATGAGTAGTCTAGCCCATTTTTAAATGAGAACAACCCTTTATTCTTCCCCACTTGCTTATTACACTTTCCATCTAGAATGTCCACTGCAGGGCCGGAGTGTCAGGAAGGGCATGTTCCTGATTCCCCGCACCTGCACCAGTTGAGACCCAGTTAAGTCTCAGGGCCCATGGGTACAGTGTTTTTATGAAGGATCTGTTAACAATTGCTGACATTTCTATTTTTATTTATTTTTTTTAAAGTTTATTTATTTATTTTTGAGAGGGGGGAGGGAAGGAGAAAGGAAAAGAGAGGATCCCAAGGAGGTTGTGCACTGTCATCACAGAGTCTGATGGCGGGGCTTGAACTCACAAACCGTGAGATTATGACCTGAGCCAAAATCAAGAGTTGGGTGTTTAATCGACTGAGCCACCCAGGAGCCCCAACAATT